GCTGCTAGCTGTATCAGGGCTCCCTTATATGTTACTACCTCTTTCTCCCTTGTTGCCTTTAGGATCCTCTGTTTGTCTTTGATATGTGCCATTTTAATGATGATGTGTCTTGGAGTGGGCCTCACTGGGTTCCTCTTGAATGAGGACCCTCTGTGCTTCCTGGACTTGTGTGACTTTTTCTCTCCTCCAATTAGGGAAGTTTTCCATCTTTACTTTTTCAAACAGGTTCTCTATCCCTTCCCCATCCTCTTCTCCTTCTGGTATCCATATTATACGGATATTATTACATTTCAGGTTTTCCTGCATTTCCCTAAACATCTCTTCAATCTTTTTGAGTCTTTTTTCATTTTCTTGCTATTTCTGGAAGCTTTTTTCTACCTTGTTATCCAGCTTGCTTATTCAATGCTTGGCTTCATCTATCCTCTTTTTGATTCCGTCTACTGTGTTCTTCAATTCAGAAATTGTATTCTTCATTTCCTCTTACCTCTTATTGATAGTTTCTATGTCCTTTTTCATGCTGATATAGTTTGCAGTAAGTTCCTAGTAGTTTTTGGTAATTCTCTCTGAGCTCACTGAGCTCATTGAGCTTCCTTAGAACCGTTGTTTTGAACTCAATATCTGATAGTTTACTTGCCTCTGTTTCATGTAGTTCTCTTTGTAGGGATGCCTCCTTTCCCTTCGAGTGGGGGGTATTTCTTTGTCTTCCCATTATTTGTGAGACTCTTCTTTTTTGCTTCTGCTTCTGCAATTGATCCATTTGATTTCCTGACTTTGTGCTGTGAATTTCTATGATAGGAGACGGCTGTTTTTTCTTTCTGGACCTGCCTCTGATGATGTCAGATGTTGTCCCTGTCTGACATTAGGCAGTCTGTTTGAGACTTCCAGGAATCTACTGTCTGTGGCTGTCTCCTTCAGCTGTTAATCTAGGCACTCTGCATTCAGCAGGAGGCTTAGGCAGCACAGGGAGGGGCAGAATCCCACCTGGGGTCAGGGCTACTGGGTCCTCTGATGCTGCTGCTGCTCAGGGGTAGTGATCTCTGCCTGAGCAAGATGGCTGCTGCCATATGGGGGATGAGTCAGCACCGAGCTCCCACCAGCTACTCTCTCAGTTCTCTCCCCAAAGCTTCCTTCCCCAGTCTCTCCTCAGGCACCCCTAGCCCACTCTGCCTCCGCCTTTGCTGGAGTCCAGGGTAAGTGGCTGCAAATAAAAATTTATGCGTTAGCTCTTTAAACAGGTCTTTGCGTCTTCAGGCACCTGTTTCTGGCAGAGCAACCCTGCTGCTTTTCACAGCTGGCTGTTTTCTGTGTACCTTTTGGGCTCTGGCACTCTGGGCTGGAGGTCCCCATTTTTGGTTCTGTTCCCACTCAGGGGGATCCAACCAGCCCTTTTAATATCCTTCTGGTGCTGCCACCTTCTTGAGCCTCTACAGCACTCCTTACCAGTTAGGTTGTGCTAAAGCTGATTCTTCTCTCTCTGAGGTTATAAGGCTCCTCTCTCGCTATTGTTCAGTTGTTTTTTCCAGGTGATTTCTCCACAATTTAAGGGTAATTCCAGGTTGGTCCTGGGAGGAGGTCAGTGTGACTTCCACTCACTACTCCACCATCTTGATTCCTGAGCATTCTTTTCTTATTGGTTTTCTGATCCCTTTTCATAACAAACACACCTTCTTATATTCTACTGCGATGGCTAGTCAATTTTCCTGTATTTTTTTCTATTTTCCTTTGGAATTCAGCATGATTTTTTTCTCCTTTTTAAATTAAGTTTTAAAGATTCATTGTTAAAATTTTTAAGCACATTCTAATAATGGGAGATTTACACAGAAAAGTAGTTGGAGAAAGAAACCAAAATATATAAGGAACAGTTTGGTCATCACAGCATCTGATGAATTTTGAGAATCTGTCAAGTTTTTATATAGTTTAGTTTTGTAGTATGAAAATGGGATTTTCTTCTCTGAGCAATTCCCGGTGTACAAGGATGACAGTTTCCTTGCAAGAGAACTTTATGATCTGGGGGTGCTGCCCCCTAGCCCCTTTCTTGTGTTTGCATATTTATTTTTCTTGCTACAAATGAATAGCAAAAAGAGATACAGAGAAAGGCAAGGGAACAAGATGAGTAGAAGACACTTGGTGAGTTAAAAAGGAATACAATAATAATCATAGAGGCTATGTCTACTAAAATTCAATGGCTTAGTGGTCATTTTCTCCTTATTTCCTGATTGTCAATTCCCCCTGGGATGGGTAGCCAGTGAACGGAAGACAGAGAGGTATGAGTGGGAGTGGGAACGCAGGTAGGAGTTGGTAAGCACTGGGGGGGCCGCAGAAGTAGCGGAAGGTCACCTGCTGGGCCTTTATGGGTGTCTAACCTGATGACAAAGGACAGACTGGGGCAGCAGTGGGGGTCCTGAACTTCACTATCTTTCTCACTAGTTTGCTGTATTTTTAGATGAAAGAGCATTAGTGGTCCATCAACTAATGTTTTCAACCCCAAAATATTACCCTAATGATCAGTCATTATGTTATATATAGTATTATGTTAATAATAGAATCCAGTGTTTTGTGAAGGCTCATCATTTTCCACTGTGTGTCTTTATGGATGTCTTAGTGAGAATTCAGAACTGGCTAAGTTAGATGCAGTTTCAAGTCTATTTTATAAGGTGAGGTTTATTCTTAACTTCTTAAATCTGCTTTGTCAGGCAACTCCTCTTCTCTTGTTCTCAGCTGAAATGAAGGTGCTAGGTTTTCCTTGATACCTCTAACTCTGCTTGTCTGCTGTGAGTCTTTCCTTATTCTATGAGCCCTGGGAAGAACAATTATCCTCTCCATCCCTTCTGTATAAAATGTGACTTTTACATGACTCTAGTTGGTGTCTGATAGTCTAGAATACAGCGATGTTGAGAACGACAATTCTTTATGACTTTGATGATCCAAATTCCATGCCCCTTTACTCTAACAGATAAGCTTGCTTACCCTTCCTGGGATTTGTTTTGCCCATATACTTCTCTTCAAATGAGCTCTAGGTAAGGGCAGTATTGAATAATTTGCCTCATATTAATTCATTCTTGCAGCCTGCTCCTATAAGCAGCCTGCTTAGGTTCCTGTACATTTTACAGCTTCTCTGGGCCTTAATCAGTAACGGTTGTCCGATTTCTGTGGCTTGATCCTCCTCGCTCTGCTACTCTTCAAATACCCCCCTTCTTGTCCCCCTTTCAATCCTTATTTCCCTAGATCCACATTGTTTTCTCGTGATCCAGTTTGCTGTCTGATTCTCCCTAAAATCCAGCACCTGTTTTCTTTTTCTTTTCCGACTGCTTGAATATGTCATATCTGTGCAGTCATTCCTACTCGTACAAATACAGCCATGCACCACTTAATGACAGGGATGCATTCTGAGAAATGTGTCATTAAGTGATTTGGTCATTGTGTGAACATCGTAGCATGTATTTACACAAACCTGGGTGGCATAGCCTGCTACACACCCAGGCTATATGGCCTAGCCCATTGCCCCTGGGCTACAGGCCCAGACAGCACAGTCCTGCACACAACAACATGAGATTAAATCAAGCACAAGAAAACGATGCAATCGAGAGACTCGGTGAACAAGAGATGTATGAGGTTGCTTCTGGCATAATGTGGCATACTGTTTTACAGCAAAAAAAAAAAAATTTTAATAAGTAGGAAGGGTACACTCTAAAATAAAAATTAAAAGTATAGTATAATAAATACATTAACTAGTAGCATAGTCACTTATTATCATTATTAAATATTATAGACTATACGGGATTTTTCCATGCTGTCCTTTTTTACAGGACTGCCAAGGCCGAGCATTTGTTTATACCAGCGTCATCACAAACATGGGAGAAACGCCTTGTGCTGGCGTGACATTCTGACTGCTGTGACATCACCAGGCAATAGGAGGTTTTCAGCTCCATTATAATCTTATGGGGGCCCAGGTGTATATGAGGTCCCTCCCTGGCCGACATGTGTGGAGGCTCATGATGATAGTGTCAATACCGCCAGGTCTGCCCTGCCTTGTCCACGGTGCACTCACTGGTTTAGGTCAATATCATATCTCCGGAGACTGCAGAGTCTACCAAAGGGATATGATACTCTTACAGTGACTTGATGTACTAATGTGCGCATGTGGCAGAAATCCAAATTTTGGACATTTCACACACTGCTGTTATTTTAGCAATTTTTAAAAAATGTTAACTATTAAAAATACTTGCTAATTTTCTGAGATTTAGGGCCTTGCTAGTGTTTAGTATAACATAACATTCAGCATTTTTAAAGTCAGTAGAGGTATAATGGCAGAGAAATTGATTAGCCACAGCTCAGAAACATTCTCATCATCAAGCAGCTCTCACATCCTCCTGTTTTATGATAGCAATGGATTTAATTTTGTTGTACAAAAATACTGTCCACTCACGTTGCATACTTTATCAATCATCTCAGAGTTTTTAGATGAAAAAATATGTGAGAGTCTTATTACAGATGAGTAGTCCAAAGAAGAGTCAGGTTGGAATTTCTCACAGGGCAGTAACCAAAAACAGATGAGGCAAAGACAGAGGGAGTATTAGCGAGGTCAGAGCTCAGGTTATTGGCTAGGCTTCAAGCTATTTAACAGAAATATAGTGCAAACCACAAAGGAGAGTCACACATGTTATTAAAGTTTTTCTTGTAGTCTTATTTAAAAAGTAAAAAATAGCAGGTGAAATTAATAATGTTCTTATTTAATCCCAATTGTGAAATCAGTCTTTTTTTGTTTGTTTGTTTCTTTGGGTGCCAGGAACTCAAAATCTGGCGCATACTTAACACTTACATAACATCTCAAATTAGACTCACTCCATTTTAAGTGATTAATAGCCACACACGCTAATCGCCACCACACTGCACAGTGCAGGTCTAGGATTTTATGTTATCACCATACTTTCAGAAAAAGTGGTTTATAGAAAAATATTAATAACTAATGTGAGAGATGATCTTAAATTATTTTCTCTTACCTACACAGATCTTCCTTTATGTGAAGAGAGATCAGTTCCTTAGGAACATGAAAAGACAGTACACTCTCCGACATCTGCTCCCGGATTCGCATCCACTTGTTGTCAGATGTGGGGAATCTATATAATTTACACACCGGGTTCTTTAACACTGAGGAAGGAAAAAGAAAAAAAGCTTAATGTTAAATTATAAAGATATGCACATTAGATGAAGATCAATGAACAAAGTCTTTGATCAGGGTACCATCTAATTGTTTATTTAATCAAAATTTTGTTTCTTTCATCATAATCCATTAGTGTATTTGAATTTCTAAGAATTTTGCTCTTACCTCTTATTTTTTCAGTAACTTCTAGGACATATAATCTTTATTAAATTTTAAAAAACAAATCAAAAGGTAATTCATAAATATGACTACTGTTGTGCTCCAATTTATCACCTATTAATTCCTTTCTCTTCTAAGAAGTTCCTTAAAGCATATGCATTTATAAATATAGATGAAAAAAATACATGTATTTTTACATAATGCACACTTTAAAAAATATGGTTCTGAATTTCTTCCGATCACTCTGAGTCAATTTTATGCACTTATATAGTAGGTGACAAGTGATAATTTTTCAGAGGTTTTAAATGACCCTACTCCTAAATATTATTTACTTCTTAAGTATCAGGAAAGCTTATTCCCTGGCTTACCATCTATTAAAATTCAAACACCATACATACTTTAGTGGAAATGAGTTAATAACACACTTTCCTGAAACCGCATGTTATCAGAAGCAAGACAAGGAGATGATGAACAAACCATATATTCGGGGTGGGCGGGCAGTGATTAGGGAGGAAGTGACAGAATCATGCCACCGAGGACTTTAAAGATTTAAAGAAAATGTGCAGGGTCAGATATTAAGACAATACTTGACCTATTTTTGTGTGAGGCCAGCACTCCCTCTACGTTCCCCAGCCATACATTTCAGGGCAGAATTTTATTTCCATTGCCGTTAGGCAATGAATGTCTTTGTTATACTCATACATAAAAGCTCAACATGCAATAAAATATTAGGTCAATCCCCAGTCAGTTATCTATGATTATGTATCTCTAATTTGCCAATAAAGCTGATCAGAAACATAATTTGATATGGAAGTGAATGAAAGGCTGTAAACAAGACCGAGGGTGGTATGTGGACCAAGTCTCCTCGATGTATAGGGTAAAATGCCTTCCAAAATTGTAGGGTTCTATAACACCATATGCCATTCACTACTTGGGTAAACATATAATATTTTTCTGAACATTAAAATGAGGATTTGTTCATTCATTTCTCTGCAACAATTCATTGTCAGAGGAACAGTTTTTGGAAATTATCACTATCAGTATTGATACTACCTTGGAAATCTTGATTTCAAATACCCTATTCTATAATGACCAGATTTGAAGCTTCCAGGACATTTACCTACCACCTACTAAGAATTCGCCAGAGTGTTTACTTTTCAAAAGTGCCAATAGAAGCCAGAAAACAGTAGAATATTTCTAATCTATTCAGAGACAATACTTAAAATCTAAAGTTGTATGACCAAATTAAAAATTGCATGACCATATTTAACATAATATAGCCTGTAAGTTTTATCAATTAGATTATATCACAGATCCATATATAAAGTTAATTATATTTAGTTTCTTTTTATTGAAATATAATTGATATATAACATTAATTTCAGGCATACAATGAAATGATTCAACATTTGAATATATTGATATGATCATCACAGTAAGTCCAGTTAACATCCATCACTATTCATAGTTACACATTTTTCCCCCTCATAATGAGAACTTTTAAAATGTACTCAGCAACTTTCAAACATGCAATATAGTACTATTAATTATAGTCACCATGATGTATACTATATCTTCATGGCTTATTTATTTTATAATTGGATATTTGTACCCCTTTAATCCATCACTCCCACCCCCTGCCTCTGTCAACCACCAATCTGTTCTTTGTATCTACAAGTTCTCTTTTTTTCTTGTTTATTTTATTTCTGGGTTTGTTTTTTGCTTTAGATTCCACTTGTAAGTGAGACCACATGGTATTTGTTTTTCTCTGTCTGGCTTATTTCACTTAGCATAATGGCCTCAAGGTCCATCCATTTTGTTACAAGTGGCAAGACCGTCCTTCTTTTCAATAACTTGATAATATTTCATTGTATGTATGTACCACATCTTCTTTATCCATTCAATCATTTATGGATACATGGGTTGTTTCCATGTATTGCCTATTAAAAAGAATACTACAATCAACATGGGGATGCAGATATCTTTTACAATTAGTATTTTCATTTTCTTTGGATAAATATCCAGAAGTGGAATTGCTGAATCATATGGTAGTTCTATTTTTAATTTTTTTTGAGAAAACTCCAAACTATTTTCTATAAAGTCTGTACCAATTTACATTCCTACCAATAGTAGTGATTTTGATTTATGTTTCCCTGATGCTTAGTGATGCCTAGTATGATTTGATGCACCTGTTGGCCATCTGCATGTTTTACTCTATTTTTAAAAATGTTTGTTAAGATCTTCTATGCACTTTTTATTGGTTTGTTTCTTTCTTTTGTTATTGATTTGTACAAGTTCTTTATATACTTTGGATATTAGACCTATATTTTCTTTCATCTGAAATATAAAAACTTACAGCAAGTCAGTGATAAACTACAATATTTCATTCATTTTTAATGTGACAATGCTTCAAAATACAAGAATTTTACTACAACATTTCCCGTCATATCTCTAAAGCTGGAAAAGAAAAAGAATATGTATTGGATTCACTATAGCATCTGTCAGATTAAACTACTCACAAGGTATTTTGAATTATAATATAGAAAACATGGCCAGATATATAAATGTATCCTTTTATAGTAAGACAAAAACTCAATCTCCAAAATGTCCAAATATTTTCTTACTAAGCTAAATAAATATTCAACTACTTGGTTTATCTATATTCAGTATATGTGCTGTCTTGTTTACCTATTTTTAAGACTATACAGAATCATTGTATCTTTCAAACCATGGTTAAAAATATTTGGATTTTTCTTGCCTTTTATAAATCAAAAATTATATTTAGGAAATTTATATTTTGAATTAATTTACAAATTATAAAATTCTTTATTTTCTGTTATTACAAAACTAGTCCTTCAACTTTTAACTTTTTTTGTTTTAATGCTCTTCATTGCATTCTAAATATAAACCTTTGTTGAAATAGCTTAAGCAGAGATCATAGAAATCAAGAGCAGTTTAATTAATGATCTCCAGAGTTCTCCTTTGATCACCCAGCACGTGACATCCAAGGAATCTATGGGAACACAGCTATTTTTACTGGAAGTGCACATGGTGAATAATTTAAAATATCAGACATAAAAGAACTCCAGTAATGTCTCCTATCTAACTTGTATAATTCTGACCTTTTGAAACACAGAGGTCTTCAAATACTAGTACTAAATTTTATATATTTATCAAGATATCAATGTAAATATAGTGTGGTCCTCTTTAAACCCAGTTTGATCCAGCAGGACACCTACTATTTGTCACTGAACACCTACTATGTATAAAGTAATAACACCGCTCTGTATCCTAAAATACTATAGAATGGCGTATGACTTAAAAGATAAAAATACTATGGCCTGACTTTTAACTCCTATGCACATTTGTTGCACTGGTTACAAATATGACCAGATAAGATGTTCTCAATTCAAAATTCTTCTTGGGTTGATAGTGGGGAGATTTTGTCATCATGACATTAAAAAAGAAAAGGTATGATATTCCTGCATCAAATATTGAACAATGGGCCATAAATGATTAATGTTTTTGTCATTTTTTAATGCTTCTTCCCTACAGCAGAGATAAAATTCTGACAGGTCTGCACATACACCTCAGCTGTGTAAATGAGGCTGTCACGTTCCGTTGCAGCCTTCCACGGATGCCGCGAGTGATCTCCAGAGATCCCCAGACAAGAAAAAGCTGATGGAGTTCATCACCACCAAACCAGTATTACATGCAATGTTAAAGGGTCTTCTTTATGAAGAAAAAAGAAAATGTAAAAAAATATGAACAATAAAATGGCAATTAATACATCTCTATCAAAAGTTGAATCTAAGAAACCAAGTAAATGAACAAGCAGAACAGAAATGGACTCACAGATACAGAGAACATTTTGACAGTTGCCAGATAGGAGGGGGGTTGGGAGGATGCGTGAAAAAAGTGAAGGGAATAAAGGTAGTTACAAAATTGCCACAGGGATATAAAATAGAGCCTAGGGACTATAATCAATAATATTCTAGTAACTACGTATGTTGTCAGATGGGTAGGAGATTTATTAGGATGATCACTTAGAAAGTTATATAATGTCTAATCACCAATGTGTACTCCTGAAACTAATATCATATGTCAAATGTAATTGAAAATTAAAAAATGATTTTACAAAAAGACATGCATTTCTGACCGTACAATAGGCTCAACCCAGCAACAATATCTAACATCTATAAGTTCTTTTTAAAGAGAGCCCTGTGCATATCCTCTTCATTTGTTTCACTACTTTTTCCAAAACAATTACAAAAAATATCACGTGACAGATTCTACCAAGAGAAAAGTAGTGGAGGTGTTCTGGACCCCATTGTGCTCTTGCGATGACTTAATTGGGGTAAAGTTCTGAGCTGGAACAGATAGTAACACATTCCCCTTGTGCTCTAACGCATAAAATGAAGAGACACGGGAACAGAGAGTAAATGACAGATTCTCCACCCCTCCACCCCCAAAGTGAAGCACAACTCAAACTTCTATATTGTTTCTCCCAGGCACCTTAACAGGGCCTCTAACAAGATAACGTGCCACCTGCTTTTTAATGGGGTTAAGCGACTGTGAAAGCCCAGCTGCTCCAGTTCTGAATTACCACAGTGAAGATGCTAAGGCATTTGCTCAGCACAGATCACACACACCAGGGAGACAGCCACTCACGCAACCTGGGGAAGAGAAGATTAACCAGGGAGACACCACGGGGGTGATTTTCTTCGTGCGCGTGTGTGTGGGTGGGGGGAGGGAGTCCGTGGGTTGGACGAAAAGATTTGGAAATCTGGAATCAGGGTCCAGGGGCCCATCCAAAAGCCTTATTTCA